TCGGGACGTCAACGGGCTTCATTCCTGCCAGAATCTCATCCCAAGTGTGGAAGAACAACGATAAGTTCTTGTCTCCTTGATATTCTAGTTGGTAGAGGTGCATTGAAGTATATAAGACTTCCACATTTGATGTTGTCTTGAAATTCATAAGGATCAGGGCTAGGACCTCTCTTCCCTTTATGAGGCTTGATGTTCTCCCTTTTGCATTGATCCTCGTCCTCAACTTCATAGCTACACCTGAACCATCATCTTTCGCATCCATGACGACCTTGGTAAGAGCTAGGCCGAGTTTGGCATCGATTGAATGGAATCTTTGGTCTCCTGAGTCGACAAACTTGTCCGGATCAGGATCGTCCATGGCTTCTTTGATCCAGTCGATCCAGGGCTCTTGATCTGAATCATTGGCCGCAATGATGATCGATTGAATGAGATTTGCCTTCCATAGTCCAAGATCATTGATCCTGGGCCATGACGGAACGTTTATCTTTGATTCTTCCTTCCTCGATACTTTCATGATTGTAGAGGTTGCCGGTGCAAGATGAGATGAAGAGGATGCTTCTGCTTCTGAAATCTTGTCCCTCAATGATTTGTTCGCCTCGGATAGCTCAATTGATTTCTCTCTTTCCTCGGCGTACTCATTGTGGGTTTCGGCATACCATTCATACATCTCATCTCGGCTCTCTGTCATTTCATTGTACCCGTCCTTGTAGTGCTTCGCCTCCTCTTCTGCGTTCCGAATCTCATCTTCCTCGGACGCGTGGGTTGGTAACCCGCGGTCTCTGGAACTAGGACGCTTGCTGTACCGAGAGACTATGGGTGCCATTCGTGCTTCTGCTTTTAATTTCGCATTTTCCATAATGACATTCTTTGTCTCCTTCTGGCTTTCCAATAGCGCATTCTCCAGTTCTCTGATCTTCTGTTGAATTTCAGCACCATCATCGCCGAACATAGGAGCTCTCATCATATTCTCTCTTTCAGCTGTGCGTTGGCTTCGGATAGAGCGAGGTTGGCGTCTTTCAACTGTTGTCGTTCACGGATGGAACCTTCTAGGACTTCGTTGTTGAATATTTCTCCTTTTGCGATAACCTCCTTTGCGACGTTTGCTTCGTATTCATGGTGGCTCGCCTTCATTTCTGCCATTTCTTTAGCAGAGACTTCAGTCTGGCATACAAATATCTCCATCCTCATGCCCACTTCCATCTCTTCTATCTCCGCTCTCGCGTTGAGTTCAGCTCCACGTGCCATAGCTAGTTGACCTCGTAGATGATCAATAACCATAGCTTCCTGATTGCTCTGATCTTGAGATGAATGAACACTGTGTTGAAGACGTCTTTCCCTGACCTCACTGTTCCATTGTTCTTCTCTCTGGTGTTGGATCACCTCGTGCATGTTGACATTCTCATCCTGTAGCGCAATCATTCTAGCTTGTATCTGGTCAGCTATTCCGACGAAGGCTGTGTTCTCATCCTGAATGGCTTTTGATCTTCTATTGATCGCCAATGAAGATTCATTCTGTTCTTGGATGTGTCCAATTGCTGCTTGAAGCTCTTGGGACATTCTGTCCTTCGTTGCTTTCACAGATTCAAGCTCTGAATGTTCTTGATGAGTTTCTTGTGCAAGCTCTTGATATCTCATGTAGATATGTTCAGCTGTCGATTCCGCCAAGCGTAGCTTGTGTTCGAGCTCTTCAATTCTTATTGTCGCTCCTTCATCTTCCTGTGTCATCTCTTGTAGATGTTCCTGCATCTTCCTGTTGTAGTCAGACATTTGCCTGAACTCCACTTCAGCCTCGTGGTGTAGTCGTGAGTATCCGGCTTGGATGCATTCATATTCTTCATGAAGAAAATTGTATGCGTTTCTCGCCGATCTCAATTCTTCACCCAGCTGAATCTCTCTTCTTTGCTCTTTTGTTCCTCTATCATCGTCACGTCTCTTCTCTATACTCCTTCTTGGGGATCTCGCGGTAGACGTTATAGGCGATGTAGATCTTGTTGTAGCTCTCATCGATCTTCTTGGTCCTACGGGTGCAAGATCGGTCAGATTCCGAGCCGGTGGCACGGATCTTTCCGAGATTTGTGATCCAGTAGGCATAGTGATAACGTCAGCATTTGCTGATGAATCAGTACCCATTGTAGAGTCTGGTGACGAAGTGGTGTTGGGACCACCAGGAGCAGCGAATGAATAGGGTTCGCTTCCATTTCCTCCTGAGCTTGACATTGCAGGTTTCTGTAATGACTAGTCTTGTTCTTGGTCTCGTGTAGCTCGTACGGCTATAAAGAGCGCGTACGGCTGATAACCTGCGAGTGGATCTTAATCAGCGAAGTTTGAAGCTATCACTGACGGTCCATAAGCGGCGTAGCGTCGGAACGGAAACCGCACCTTTTCTAGTCGCTTGATCCTTGAGCCAAAGTACATATGGTACATATATATGTACAAGTTGCACTGTACGTGTCGCTGCACTTCCATTCGCATATTATATATATATATATTCAACATCCAATTAATAAGCTCATGACTGGCATCCAATGTAATTCATCATGCAAAAAGCCGTGCCTGCCCTCAAATAGATGCCGCTAGGTGCATATCCATACAGAGGCACATGGGATTGCCTTCTCATTGTGTCCCATCATTATCGACAGGTCCGCACACTTTGCCAGACGAAACGTCTTGAGACATCAGGTAGGTGGATGGTATGGCTTACAGGTCTCATTTGATATGGAAAAGGCCTTCGATTCGGTAATCTTGTGACCCGGGCGTTTGATTGGTTTGCTTTCGACCCTGACCTTCATTATATTATCATATGGTTTGCACCCCATAAGCATTGCATTCCTCACAAGGACTTGAAGGAGGAAATTCACGCCTCGTATCCTAAACGGTTACAATCACGGACAACAATCGACCAGATTTCGTGCACCTTTTTGGAGTGTCAGTCACTTCTACTTGTGCCTCCAAATTGTTCCCCTTCATTTTGTGGAGTCTTTTGGGACGGTTCCTAGTTAGCCCGTAGAAGGTATTTCAAGCCCGACTAAAGTGGAGGCCCTCGTCTCCAGCTGAGAGATCTGCTGAGTCTCCTCCTATTGCTCCATCAATCCATTTACCTAGCTGCACACCAACAATATACTATCACTATTCCACTCCTGAATCTTCACAGCACAAAAGATTCGTCAATTCTGGACGTCTTTCGACCCTTTGTTCCTTTTCTTGGCTCATCTTTGCACAGCTTTCATGGTGTGACATCCGATGACAGTCTCACCTGCCAGCCCAGGCGGCATGCCGCTTCTTCCGCCGCCATAGCTCCAGCTGAGTTGTTGATGAACTGTTGTTTTGTAGTGGTCCCCAAATAGATAGAAACAGTTTCCAATCATGTTGAAAGGTGTGTTACTTTTCTATCTATCTAATTGGGGGTCTATATAATCTATTCATATCTATTCCTGTGGGATCCTTTACATGCTTGGGCTTGGACTGCTACTGGCGCGGGTGAAACCCAACATATAAAGCTGCCAAAGGATCAAGTCTGATTCAGATGTTGGTATGTAACAATTGCTGCTGCAAATTTGCAAACAACTGAATAACAGCTGCAAGTCTGAGAAAATGCGAACCCTGCAGGCCCTGTTCATATGTTGTTTCTTGTCCCATCTTGTCGCTCACCCGCGCTTGGCGCTGCACTTCTTAGGCACCGCGTCGTCACCCTTTTGTCCACCTTTTCGCCGCAAGCCATCGTTGACCCTGCCTGATCTGCTGGAGCCAGGTGCTTTGTGGTGTCAAGGTCCATAACTTGCGGAGGCTAAGCGTTAACCACCGCCTGCAGTGGCCTGCAGTTGCAGTTGTCAAAATCACACATCTCTTGCTTCTCGGGCGTTGTGCTTTTGACTGGTTTCTGTGCTCAAGTCCGCGTGTAAAGGACAGAGAATTTGGCCTAGGACTTGGGAGAAGGCATCTTTGAATATAACCTCTTATGACTTTGGCACAACTTCTGAAGCGGACAAAGTGATGTGGATTCTCAAACATGAAAATGATCGAAATAGTCGTTCGCCGACGCTTTTGAGGCTTTCCGCGGGGCAACTCCGGAACGGCGCGTTCCAGTCGGACTACATGGTCCTTTCCTGGGAATCATGTTACTGAGACATTGCACGAAGTAGGTACCCATACCTCCGCCAAAGTTTTTGCGAATCTCTCTCCCCGACGCGAATGTGGCGGGAAGGTGCTGTACGATGTTGTAAGAGGTGCTTTCGCGAAAGGCTTCGTGCGGTTTTATGTTAGCTTCAGTCTACAAAGCACATGCATGAAAAACACGGCCTTCACCCTTCGCAAAAGTTCTATGTTTTCTTGAACTTCGCAATGGGTCGAGGACAAATCAACTTCATGAAGAGTCTATTCATGGACACAGATCTTACTGTGCAAGTGAAGTTGTTTCGGCTGAAAGTGCCCAGTTCAAGGCGAGCTCTGATGATCAGCTTGCCTTCGGATCGCTTCTCACGTCATGATTCTGATCTATGAAGTTTCGGTGTGATGTATTTGACGCTATCAAATCCATCAAGGGACCATCAAGCTCTTCCACTACCCCACGCTCGACCTCACGACCCGCCACATGCGACCTGTCCAGAGTCACCCCATCACCGGAGAAACCCGATGTCTCCAATCCTTTGAGATCCTAAGAACAAGGTTCGCTACTAGGGGCCACCGGTTGACCACCGAGTTCCGCCGAGGTGTTTCATCACCCGAGCTGTGCCAGGAGCCGCAGGGGCCTGCGCCCGGATGGGACGTCGCCCGGAGGGCGTGGTGGCATGAGATCCGATCCCCTCAACCCTGTCCGATGGAGTCGGGGGCAATGCAACTGCTGTCCACCTGGTCGGATTGGAACTTCGCTCTCAAGGTTCTCTCGGTCCGGTGTATGGAAACCCCAAAGAGACCAGACCGATACTTGGCAACCAACCGAGGATGCAAGCGGTATAGTGTGGTGCTCGAAATCGAGAGGCAACACCCTGGTGGCCGAGTGTTCCCTAAAGAAATCGTTTGGAGCAAACACCTTGAACTGTGCAGCCTGACTTGAACTGACTTGAACAAATCGAGTATGTGATTTGAATACACATGAACACTTTGGATAGTAGATGGTGGATAGCGTGCACCAGACTGCAAGTGCCGCAAGCAGAGGGCAACGTTTGACAAAAGGAGCGCGAATCCACAAAGTTGCCAAAATGGGCTGACAACAAATCCATTCCACAACAAATCAAGCTTTGACACTGTTCAATTGCTTTTAAAGGTTTCTGGTTCAAGCCGCGCTCTGACCAGTCAGCTTGCCGAAGTTCAGAGTGATAATGAGGTCGGATCCAGGTCGACCCACAGCAACCAAGGTAGAACCAAGCATTTGTCTGTCCCCCAAAACACATTCGCTGCACTGCCATCCCTCTTTCTGCACTTGCTGTTCTGCGCACAAAAACATGATGAAACCTGAAGAGGCGGGCAAGCAGACATAAGTAGCACAGCTTTCCTCAATCCTATGACAGGCCATCTCTTTTCAACCTTCAGCTCTACTTTTGCCTTCTGTTGAAGCTTCACAAAGTGCACAGTGCATTCCAGCCTCCTTGCGCAGCAAGGGGAATCACAGAGCATCCACTTTGACGAGAGGTGGCAAGAGTCACTCATCATTCCATTCTCTTTTGCTCTGATCACGCGCAAAAAAAACGATCCTGAATGGTTCGGGCATCTTGTCAGGTGCTGGACAAGTTTCAGTCTGCACGTCTTGGGCATGGCCACATGCTTGAAGACCACAGAAATGTCCGAGTCTCTGCATTGCGCTTTACACAAAAACAGACCCTTTGCGGAAACTTCTGCGAGCGAAAGCTCCGGCTGCAAAGGGCGCCAATGCGGCGCTTGGATTCCATACTGGACACTTTCGCAGTGCAATTCGGCAATGTCTTTGCGCGGTGCAATCCACAGATTATGTTGCTTATGCGATTTGCTTCAAGGTGTTGAATGTCACATCATAGTCGGGCGCTTGCACGAGGTGCTTTCGCGAGCTTTCCAGGAAGCAAATGCTCTGCTCAAATGCTTCTGCGGCACATTGATGAGTTCACCCTCCATGTACTTCACTCTTTCAAACAACGTTCCTCAAGTGGACAAAAATTGCGATTCTCGTTCGCATGAACATGACTGAACTCGTTCGCCGGCGAGGCGGAAATGGACAGGCATCAGACTCGGCGCGAGGTCTCACAATGGCCAGCATGTAGGGTGTAGACACATCATCCTTCGGCAAGTAACAACAAGTGCCAATCTGTTCGACAACTTGAACGTGCACTTCTCGTTTGGAGCAAACACCTTGAACTGTGCAGCCTGACAACTGCCTTGAACAAATCGAGTATGTGACTTGAATGCACATGAACACTTTGGATAGTACATTGTGGATAGAGTGCGCCCATAGACTGCAAGCACCGCAAGCAGAAGGCAACTTTTGACGAAAGGAGCGCAAATCCACAAAGTTGCCAAAAGGGAGTTCTGATTCTATGTGTTGTCTTGAACCCCGCATTGGCAATGGGTGGACAACAAGTTAACTCGACGGAAAGTCAGTTTTTGAAAGCGTTCAAGGCATTTAGAGGTTTCTGGTTCAAGCCGCGCTGTGATGATCAGCGCCCAAGTTCAGGTCGACGATAATCAGGTCGGATCAAGGTCAAGGCTCATACAGAACGATCAAAACTGTCTTGGTATGGAAATAACTACGAATCGAGTTGAAAAGAAACGCGCAGTAGAGGAATGGAGAACAAGCCTGCTCACACGCCCTGCTTCTCATGATCCTTATCTATGTCCTGCCATCACACGCAAAAGAACGTCCTGGAATGCCTAGGACTCTTCAACAAAGCTGGATGGGCGAGATTGCCCGCAAGACTGGTCCGTCGTGTTCGGAGCAAACACTTCTTTGGCAGCCCGACTTGAAGAATCATGAACAATCGACTGTGTGACTTGAATACACAAGGACAATTTGGATAGTAAATTGTGGATAGCCTGCAAGTGCCACAAGCAGAAGGCAACTTATTATGAAGCGAGCACATTTCCACAAAGTTGCCAAGGGAGTGTTGGGTCGACAACAATTTAACTCCATGATAAGCAAATTCATGGAAACGTTCAAGGTTTTTGAAGGTCTCCTGTCGAAACCGCGCTCTGACAATCAGCTTACTCAATCTTAAGTCGTCAGTAATGAGGTTGGGTCAAGGTCAAGGTCAAGGCTCAAACAAAATGATGAATCAGCACTGTCTTGGAAAAAGGACCCGAGTCAAGCAAAAAGGTGCAGTGTCGAAATGGAGAACAAGCCTGCTCACAGGCCCTGCTTCTCATGATCCTTATCTATTTCCTGCCGTCACACGCAACAGAACGTTCTGGAATGCCTAGGACTCTTCAAAAAAGCTGGATGGGCGAGATTGCCCTCAAGACTAGTCCGTTGAAAGTCTCGTTTTGACTTGAACTGCCTTGAACGAATCGAGTATGTGACTTGAATACACATGAACAATTTGGATAGTACATTGTGGATAGAGTGCACCCATAGACTGCAAGTACCGTAAGCAGGAGGCAACTTTTGACGAAAGGAGCGCAAATCCACAAAGTTGCCAAAAGGGAGTTCTGATTCTATGTGTTGTCTTGAACCCCGCATTGGCAATGGGTGGACAACAAGTTAACTCGACGGAAAGTCAGTTTTTGAAAGCGTTCAAGGCATTTAGAGGTTTCTGGTTCAAGCCGCGCTGTGATGATCAGCGCCCAAGTTCAGGTCGACGATAATCAGGTCGGATCAAGGTCAAGGCTCATACAGAACGATCAAAACTGTCTTGGTATGGAAATAACTACGAATCGAGTTGAAAAGAAACGCGCAGTAGAGGAATGGAGAACAAGCCTGCTCACACGCCCTGCTTCTCATGATCCTTATCTATGTCCTGCCATCACACGCAAAAGAACGTCCTGGAATGCCTAGGACTCTTCAATAAAGCTGGATGGGCGAACTTGCCCGCAACACCCGTGGAATGTGTTGCTATATACGTTGAAAGACGCGTCCACACCGGGAGAAAAGCAAAAGACCTGGACGTAGCGCGATTCTTCAATACTTTGGTGCAGTTGGGGTCGTCACGACGCGGGAATCCCCAAACTAACACCTCTGAGCTTCTGAACGCTGAAAAAATATTCCAAGCCACTCATCCAGCAAGCAGGTGTCACTTTGCGGTGCATTGCACAAAATATGTCGCTTACACAATGTGCTTCGGCGGTGGTGAACGTTACAGCATAGTCGGGTGCTTGCACGAGGTGCTATCGCGAGGTTTCCAAGGATCAAATGCTCTGCACAAATGCGTACGCAGCACGTTGAAGAGTGTCGCCCTTCTATATATTCTCGCATTTGAAACATAAACTTTGCTCCGGTTGCCAATAATGAGGTTGGATCAAGGTCAAGGCTCAAACAAAACGATCACAACTGTCTCGATATGGAGGAAATTACTTCTAATCGCCTTGAACTGAAACGTACCGTGAAGGAATGGAGAACAGGCCTGTTGCTCACAAGCCGTGCATCTCTTCATTTCGATTGAGTTGTTTCGATAAGTAACCTTTGAACCCTTGGGCAAACTGGAGGGAAGGTTCAGGGCTTCATGTCCAAAGTGACAAAATGCTGATCTGTTTGACGACCCCCAATTGCAATTCACTCCTCACTTTACAATCTTAGACAATCTTCACTGAGCTCGAAGAAGCGACTCCCCCTCGCAATCCGCATAGAGCATTGGCCAGCAGATGGCACATGGTTTTTGACTAAACCCACATGCAAGCAACCAAGGTAGAACCACGCAATCGTCCGTCCCAAAATACGTTTGCTGCACTGCCATTGTTCTTTCTCAGGCTGCACTTGCTGCTCTGAGCAAGAAGCACGATGAAACCTCTTCAGGACAGCCGGACAAAAGTCGTACAGCTTTCCAAAGGCCACCTAGCATGCTGGGAGTGTCCTGCGCACACCCAAATTTAGCTTGACAATCGAAGTTGCAAAAGGAAATAAACCCGACCTTAAACATCTATATACTGATCATAGGTAGCCGCTCGCCACAGCAACCCAGGTTGCTCAACGAGTTGCCGCTGTTATATAAGGTGCTGCCCACCAAACACCCAGGCGCTAGAGAATCTGAACGTGTCAATGCACATAAGGTTCTCACTGAGCCCTCACTGAGGATGTTTCATGATTTTTCAGGCCCTAGGTCCCCACCCTTTCAGCCTCATGGGCCACCAAGCATTCATCGAAACATCCTCCCGCCAAAGCCATTTACTTTGAAGTATGTGGGCTTTTGGCTTAAGCTGCAAAATTTTGCCTCGACATGGAACCCAGAACGTCATGTTTGATCAAGGAGATCGCGAAACTTCCGCATTCCTTCGATCAAGAAGAGCACAACTCAAGTTCAGCAAGGAGAATCAGCAAAGAGAAACCAGACAGAAAGGGAGGATCAGCAAGGAGAAACCAACTGGGCCTACAAATGTCTATAATAATGTAGCTGCAGGATCTGTAGGTCAATGCTTTTTCGGACCAAGGTCACCATGGAGTTGACGGGATTCTAGCTGCTGTGGGGCTCTGGTCAAACCCTAGGGCCTAGGATTAATCTGCAGGCGGACGTAGGCAAGTCCTGCGAGACGACGCTGCCCACACGCATGGCCGGCGCAAATAACTGACCTTCATTGAGTGCAACTGCATGTTCATTCCCGCAGGTGACCCCAAACATACGTCATAATGATGATCACACATGATTTCTTGCTTGGGAACATTCGCCATGATGAACACACCATGGTGTGGCTTGTTTTGGCACATAGTCTAAAGTGAACGATTTCGAACCAAGGGGTGTGTCACACAGCGACACAGGACCTGTCCGCAGAGTTCTTGACGTGTCGCATGGCTCATTACTGTCCTCGAGTGGAGTCCTGATCGAGTCCAGAGGTTGCTAGAGCTCATCGAAGAAAAGAACAAGCGAATTTGTGGAAGACTGCGCAGCAAATCCCATCCATGTCGATTGCTTCGATAGCTGTATCGACGGGAAGCAGTGGAAGTGAGGGGACTCCGACCCGCTCCAAGCCAGACTGAAGGGGAAGACCTTGCGTTCGGAGCCAAACATCGTATCCTTTCGATCTTGGCTTTTGAGTCAGGCCGAGAACTGCAACTCAGAAGCACAAAATGCGTCACTTCAAG